TGTCATTTCGGCTACGAAGAATTAAAGTTTCTTGGTCACGTCGTGAGCGCCGTTGGTGTTCGGCCTGATCCTGACAAAACTGATGCCGTCACCGCTTTTCCACCTCCAACAGACAAGAAAAGTCTTCGACGGTTTCTGGGTCTGTGCGTGTATTACCGGCGCTTTATTGAAAATTTCTCTAACATTGCGGAGCCACTATTACGCCTCACGCGTGATGATACACCATTTGTCTGGGCTGACGACCAGCAGACTGCCTTTGCGGAACTACAGCACCGGCTCTCTTCCCCTCCCGTGCTCGGCCACTTCGATGAAGATGCTGACACTGAAGTACACACTGATGCCAGCAATATCGGTCTTGGAGCTGTTTTGGTACAAAGACAAGATGGCATTGAACGGGTAATAGCCTACGCAAGTTGCACACTGTCTCGCGCGGAATCTAACTATTCCACATCAGAAAAAGAATGTCTCGTGGTCATTTGGGCAATAACAAAGTTTAGGCCATATCTCTATGGAAGACCATTTAAAGTGGTGACTGACCATCATGCTTTGTGCTGGTTGACCAATCTACGAGACCCTTCAGGACGATTAGCACGATGGAGTCTGCGCCTACAGGAATTAGATGTCACCATCGTGTATAAGTCAGGCAAAAAGCACGAAGATGCCGACACGCTATCACGAGCACCTCTTCAATCTGCCAGTACTAGCGCAGAAGAGGACGGCGCCTTCGTGGCAACTGTCAGCGGACCGGATCTGATGTCTCATCAACGAAATGACGCCGATCTAAGAATGATTATAGATCATTTAGAAGGGGGCACCGCGCCCATTCCTCGTCCAATGTCGCGAACGTTGCCATCCTTTTGCCTACGAAATGGCGTCTTATACAAAAGGAACGCCGGTACTGGTGACAGATCTCATCTTCTCGTCGTGCCTAAAGCCCTCCACGATGACGTCTTATTAGCTTGCCACGACGAGCCCACATCTGGCCATCTGGGCTACTCGAGAACTATAGATCGGGTGCGGCAACTCTACTAATGGCCTAAAATGTCTGCCTGTGTCAAACGCTACGTGAAGGGATGCCGTGAATGCCAGCGTCGCAAGACACCACATTTAAAGCCTGCAGGTCATCTACAACCGATCGATCCACCACGTACACTGTTTGAACAAGTGGGGATGGACCTCCTAGGCCCGTTTTCTTTGTCTTCTTCTGGCAACAAATGGATTATTGTCGCAACCGATTATTTGACGCGTTACGCTGAGACGAAGGCGTTGCCACGAGGGACCGCATCTGAAGTTGCCAGTTTTTTTATGCATCAAATTGTGGTACGGCATGGCGCCCCGTCATATGTCATCACTGATCGAGGGACATCGTTCACAGTGAAACTTTTGGGTGATATCTTCAGGTTGAGTTACACAACCCATCGAAAGACCGCTGCGTATCACCCTCAGAGTAATGGTTTAACAGAAAGGCTAAACAAAACGCTAGCCGACATGATCTCTATGTACGTGGATGTGCAGCACAAAACGTGGGATGACATCCTGCCGTACGTAACATTTGCGTATAACACTGCAACGCAGGAAACTACACGCTTCATGCCATTCCGACTCGTTTATGGTCGAGATGTTAGAATTATGCTGGACGCCATGATTCCATATGAGGACATCGACAAGCTCGACCAATCAGCCCCCGACATCAATGAGTACATTCAACGCGCTGAGGAAGCACGTCAACTGGCCCGTGTGCACATCCGAACTCAACAGTGCGCAGATGCACGGCGGTACAGCATTCACCATCGAGAAGTTAATTATGAACCCGGTGACCAAGTTTGGGTTTGGACACCCATTAGGCGGCGAGGTCTCAGTGAGAAACTCTTGAGGAAGTACTTTGGACCTTACAAAGTACTCACACGTGTGAGCGACGTGAACTACGGAGTGGTTCCAGACGGAGGCTCACCATCATCCCAGCGCAGGTTACCACGTCCACAGACTGTACACGTAGTCCGCCTAAAACCATACGTTACGCGGTGATGCGAATTTTCTTCTTGTGCCAGTGAACTCTTCATGTGATCAGTGAATGCCGTTTATTTCCGATTGCCGGGCCCAGGACGCATTTTCTCTCCTGCACTAATTTGTTTAATGTTTTTTTTTGTGTGTTACCTACTTCGATACACGGCTGTACACACTTTTGTTTGAGCATCGGGTCGATGCTCTCTTGGGAGGAGGAGTAATGCCATCTGGTGTTCTGTGCCAGTGAACAGTGGGTCAGTTCTGTGCCGGTGAACGAGGAAGACGAAGACGAGCAACCCGTGCCAGCGGAGACGTCCTTCTTGGTCTCTGAGATTTTTGACAGTCGCGTCCCTTTATACGTTCCTGCGAGCTCTTAGCACGTGACAATATTATAGCAGACATGACATGTGGCATGACACAAGCAGACGCCGCTAGAAAATTTGGCTTGTCAAGAAAGACTGTTAGCGGGATTTGGGCTCAGCGAGAGGAGCTTTTGAAAGAAGCACCAACAGGAGCCAGCCGGTCCTAACTTCGTAAGTCATTTCATCCTGCCATAGAAGAGGCGCTTTTTCTGTGGATACAGGATGCACAGAGCATGAACATTCCTCTCAAGAGATCCTTAATTTAAGAAACAACCAAGCAACTTGCATTCGGTCTTGACATTGAGTTTAAGGCCAGTCAAGGATGGTTTAAGCACTTGTCTTCTCTTCCTTTCTGTTTATTCATGCTCTTGAACTGACAGTTATACCAAGCGCTTGTCCTCTCTTCCTTCTGTTTATTCGTGCGCTTGAACTGACAGTTATACTTGGGATGGTTCGACAGGTTCAAGCACCGATATGTCATCAGCTACAAAGCTGTTTATGGTGAAAGCAGAGCTGCTGATGAAAACTCTATGAAGCAGTGGAAAGAGGAGAGCTGCTGATGAAAACTCTATGAAGCAGTGGAAAGAGGAGATGTGGCCAACTTTGCTGAGGGGGTGGAAGGCTAGCTATATCTTCAATCAGGATGAGTCCGGAATATTTTTCATTATGCTTCCTGGAAGGACATTTGCCTTATTCAAGGAAGATTGCAGCGGAGGCAAAAAGCCGAAAGAATGCATTGCTGCTATGTTCTGCACAAATATCGAAGGAATAGCGAAAGAAAAAAAAACCTAGTTATAGGCAAATAAAAAAACCCACGCTGCCTAAAGAACTATTCGGCAAATGTTGAATACACAGCAAACAAGCCTGCTTGGACCACATCACAAATATTCAACAAATGGCTTGCAAGTTTTGATCACAAGATGGCTACGAAGAAGAGTTCTACTGTTTCTAAACAGCTGTTCAGCCCACATGAAGCCACTGCCATTGAAAGCTATTGAGCTTAGGTACTTTCCACAAGGCCGCACATCTGTGTTATAGCCCCTTGATGAAGCAGTTATTAATGCAGTCAAAATCAAATACAGAGTTTGACTTGTTCAACGTCTCCTGTTCGACATGTTGCAAAAGCGTGAGACTACAATCAATGTGAGAACAGCGAGTGGGATGTTGGCAGGCTCATGGAACGGCACTCAGAGGAGCACCGTGACGGTGTTTTCGCAAAGCCGGTTTTGATTTGCAGGAGGAAGATAAAGAGGAGTATGTTGCCGACAAAGACCTGCAATGTGCAGTTGAGCTAGAATCATGGTCATTTATTCAAAGAAGATTTGGTGAGTCTGGAACATTCCTGAACTTCTTTGAGGCAGACCACAACCTTGCTTAGCCTAAAACGTTTCTGATGAAAGCATCGTAAGGATGGTGCAGGAAGGGGAACAGGGAGAAAATACTGATCCGGATGTATCGGACAGCAAAGACAGCACCCCGCCAATGACATCTGGTGAAGTAACGACAGAGCTGGGCCAAGTTCGGAAACACATACAGCTTTGGCCTAGCGGCCATGAAGTTCTTGACCTTGTCAGCAGGCTGGGAGGAGCTGTATTGAAAAAAAGAATAGACACAGCCCTAAAACAAATAATGGAGAACTACTTTACAAGTGCAGTGACTTAAAAGGAAATTGTGAAAAATAAATGTTTTGTTAACATATATAGCCTTTTTTAGTGCTTATTACAGCAGTAGTGTGCCCACAATGAAATATGGACTGAATATAATATGAAAAAGTGGTACCCTGCTTACAAGAGACCTCTCATATAAGAGACACAAACCGCTCCCTGGTACGTGTCTCTTATAAAGGGGTTCAATTGTAAGAGATTTTCATTTACTGAGAGTCTACTGTATAATCACAAAGAGAGCACACATTATTTTTGCACATAATTACTGAAAGAACACAACACGTACATGTGATTCAGTGAGAAAAAAAAATGATGAGAAAAATATCATCGAAGATAAAGTTCAGAACTGACATTTTAGATATCAGCTCAGGAAGAAGGCACAAAGCACACACCTGCAACAAGAAATATCAAAACCATTTTGCGATAGAATATTTAATGCAGAGGGCAAAGTTATTCTTAGCACCTGGGCCCTGTAGTTTGTGCATGAGATAAAGTTGTTGAAATGAAATGAAATTGTTGATCAAGAGGAGCGGTGCACTCATAGCCTTGATTTAGACAGATGTGTTTTATCTGCATTCGAATTGTGTTTTGCTAATCACCATGATCTGAGCTCTTTTCTAACCATGTGGAAAATGTGTGTTTTCTAAAGGTTGTACTAGTTCATTTTTGTCAAAGGAGCTACTACACCCAATATTCTATGTAATCAATAAAGAAAAAGCAGCATATGTGAACGTCTCACTCACACAAGTTTGATTGACGAGTGTTGTCTACTGTAGCATCCAACTATGTTTTTCTCATAGTTCTCCTCTTCTTGCCATCAGTAATTGGACTCGTTGTAGAATGATGGTGAGCCAGCAAGGGACTGCTGTGAATTTCATTGACGCTCTGTAAGCGCGTTGATTTCATGCAATGTTTATGCGTTACTGTTGATTGCCACGCATTGCTAGAGAAAGTCTACTCTTTGTGACAGGTGAAAGCATTTTGATGTGCCGCGATGTGGACCGACCTCTGGCCCAGCGGCTGAGTCGTGCCGAAGCACAGCCCATCACCTCCTGCCTGTCAGGAAGCAGCACCAGTCTGCGCAGGGCATTGCTGGAGGTGCTTACTTCGTTATGCCTTCATTTTAGCTCAGTGGGTTCGTCTAGGGATGGGTGAATACACTCAAACCCCATTATAACAGTCAGATGCGCACCGAAAAAATGTTATATCTAGAAATTTGTTATTAATGTATATTCCTAACAATATATCTACTACAAGACTATTCTTCATTAACTTCATTATAACCAATAATTTGTTATATCTATGTTAATTAAATGTTAATTAAATCCAGGTCTGTGTGTCGTAAGTTTCAGGGTAAAAGCCAATTTGAAGCAAGTAGTGATTTAGTCTCCAAAATAAACTGTTCAGATAGCATATCTCACACATTATCAACAAAGGTTAGAATTTTCGTTATGACCCAATTAACTTAAACAAAATCTTTGAGAATTCGAACTATGTGTATGTGAATGCTACTTCAATTTATTTGAAGTGAACTAGAAGCAACTTTATATATTATCAAACTTGTATAGCTTCAGGGTATGAGATATAAGTGGTGCAATACGTTACTTTTTGAAGATTACTTAAGTTAGTGCATGTAAGCTCATATAACACGGTTTTAAGCCTAAAAAATAATTCATTAAGGTGACTGTGTATCCAACCTTGAAGTGTGGTTTTACGCAGTGTGAATTTCTTCTGGATCAGTGGACTTAATGGCATAGCATCCCCATACTGCTGTGAAACCACCAATATAGGGGGCTATGTGCGCTCAATGAGAGATGTATTAGTTCATTTTGAATACTTAGAAATTTATTTTGTGTCAAAGCCAATTAGTATGCTTTAATATTGAGAATATTTGCCCATCTTTAGGTTTGCTCATTCGTTCATCCTAACTCTTGGAAAGTTAGTTTGGTGTTTATGGTGATAATACTGTAAAAGGGGCCCAAAAACACTGACATTTTAGAAAAACTGTGTCAACGTGAACTGTTAACTCCTGTGCACGTGTGAGTACTTTACATTGCATGCAGCGAAGTATTTACCATTTCACCTAAAACCAGGCAAAACTATGTGTTCTCTTCTTTGTAATGTCATCACCGACTATGCAGTAACAACAGTCTTAGACATTGTGTGCCACATCGTATATAGAAAGCATAGCCCCCAGGAGGTGCTGCTAGAGCTGCAAATTTTATCATCAAGTAGTAGTCAGCTGTTCACACATCAAAAAAAAAAGAAAACGCCAGGCCTGCGCTGAATACGCTGCACTGTCACAGCGAAAGCTGGAAGAGTGACCTTTCAGAGCCTTTTTTATACATTCTTTGGCTAACTGCTGCAAGCACACTTGCAGGTTACCCACAGTGCCATAAATTATTGTGTAGTAGGCAGGCAGTCACTATTCCATTCTTTGTCATTTTTCGGAGAAGCGTTGTACCCGCTGCACATTTACAAGGAACTTTGTGCAATTTTTTTGTGTTGTGACTGACTACGATGAAGAATTATGCCAGAAAATTTTGCGATTCCCGCAATCATCCACAGTGAGTATGGGCCACAGCTAACAGAAGAACAAGATCAAGATTTTGTAAAGGGTTGGAACATTCAACGACGCACTCATGTCGCAATTCGTAATATGTTACATTTGGTTGTTTCTTTGCTGTTCTAAAACACTTTATTACTCAAAATAAAGCGATTCTTTTACGGACATCAAGCCAGCCAAAGGCCAGTTTGCAAAGGGTTTCAAGCACCAGTGTGGCTCACTGGTAGAATGCTGGGCTGGCACACAAGGAACTCGGGTTCGAATCTCATTGTGTCCTTGGTCTTTTTATTTACCGAGTTTCTTTTTCTTATTTTGTGCGATAGTGGTTATCCACACCGGCGGCGGCAGGCAATTACTGTGCCTTGTAAACCATGTTGTGATCTCATAACAGCTTTTGCTGTAAAAATCCCTGCATGTCCACGAGGTGAATAGTGAGTGGGCGAAGCTCTGGAGGTAATGTAGTGAACCGCGAATTCTCGACACATTTTGTCCACGCGATCATCATGTAAGACAGATTGTCGAGCTCTCATCTCTGGTCGGCACGATGCTGGTTTCTCGCTTCGACTTCTCAAGCCCTAAGCTCCGGGTCGGCTTAATGGCAAGCTCGTGCTGGAGCTGCTTTGCGAGCTCTTCGCTCCTCCAGCTTGTCTTCAATCATATTATTTAAGGGCATGGACTGACACCTGTCGAAAAAGAGAAAGCGTGCCGAGAGCGAGTGTGGTTTGTAGTTCTGGCCCTCTAGCGGTTTCCTATTAAACTAGAGTACGTGCTGGATGTGAAGCAAGCGCTGCAGAGTCATCTAGTGGTCTCCGTTCAAACTAAATGTGAGAGTGCAGCTGCGCCTCTAGTGAGCGGTCTGAGTACTAGTGGCTGGCTCCGACGATGGTGGGACAAGCTTGACTATAAGCAACTCCGAAAAAAAAAAGTGCTCTTTATAAACCTATTCCATGTTTGTAAACATGGGTGGGTGCCATCGACATTCTGTTCTGTCCACAGTTACTGGCAAAGGGGCCGTCAACATTCCAGGTTCTGTCCAGAATTACTGGGAAAAATGCAAGCTGTCAAGGCAGCTAGCAAATTCATGCATGCGAAATGCAAGCTTGCATAATAGAAAATTGGTGCCATATCTGCATGTTTCACTGCAGTAGTCAAATGACGATAGCCTTCCATCTGGAAAAAGTGAATAAAACATTCATTTGATGTTCAGCACGAGAAAATTGGTGAATGGGATTCTGGAGGCGCTGTGTTAAAGTGCCTTGATGCGCGCAGCGGGTTGGTGCCACCTCTGTATCATCTTAGCAAAGCTCCTGAAACACCCTCCTGATCGTGCATAGCGTTTCATTGTCTGCTTAGCATATTAAACGCTACGTTTCTTATAATTATCTATGCATGACTTTTTTTAGTGTAAAGAAACACGCCACAGTATATTGACGTGTTGATGTTCTGCCTCAGATATGCGCAACATTTGCTTTTTAATCGATGTTACGCACAAGTATGAATGCAGAAACCAGAGAAATATTAGTGGGCGCTGCAGATGTGGCTGAATTCAGGAATTAAAGGCAAACTTAATAAAAAGCAAAGAGACAAGCCGTTTTGGTTGACAAACGGACAAGTCGACAGACAGACAGACCAAAATTTTTGCGTCGCAGTATACCAAGAAAGCCTACCGTCTTTAAAAGTAAATGTTGTTTACATTCTCTCTAATCCAAGGCATATTTCATGTTGACACAAAAGTGTCAACATGGCATATCCACTGAATTATGGGAAGCTACCTAAAACATGTTGAACGAGGTTTTGCATGCTTAGGAGCTCATTTTTAGTTTGGAACGATTTTAAACTGTTTATGTGCAGTCACAAAGTGCCTATCTTTTTTTTTTTTTGCCCATACTCGAATACATAGACCCTTCAAGTAACCATGGGCGCATGTTTTTATTGTGAAATGATGTCTTGGTTAGCTTGGCAAATGCGTGCATATAGATGGCATCACTGTGCAGACACTTGGCATGCTTCACAATGCCATAGCAACCACATCCAGCCATGGTGTAGGAGAAGGGAATCCTCACAGCAGACCTTGTAGCACGCCTCTATTAAAAATCTAGGCAAAAGAAATGCTTTCCATGCTCTGTGGTCAGAGGTCCTCCTCTGGTACTTTTTAATCTCTTTTGGGCCATCAGCACTCTTTCTTTTTCTGCACGCTGATCAGGTGGTGGCCAGTGGTGTGGCAAGCAAGCCAGAGGAACTTTGCCTCTACACGCAGTGCACTCTACGCCACCAGCTCAGCGCTGGTGGAGAAGCCAAAGAAGACCTCGATCGGGCGCTTCAATTTCTGGTTGATCACCAGCTCGTTCACCTTCAGGGTGAGTAATTTCGTTGCGACTTAGACGATTGTGTAGTCAATTTATAGACAGTGTAGCAGAGAGCTTGTGATTAGCATTGACTACCCAAGATTGTTTAGTATGTACCCAAAGCGCAGTGCGTTCTTTCTTTTAAATTTCATCACACGGATGTCAGTTTGTGCGGAGTTAACAAATATTTAGTGATTTATTACATTGTTGCAATTTCATAAGGGTATTATTTTACCTTTGTAACCACTGTTGCGACGTGCGCCTCCGACGACGTTACGAAGGGCGCCTCGAAATCTCACCGCTGCAACCACTGTTTCGAAAGACGCCGACGCCAACACGGTCCCGAAGGCGCCACTGCTTCGAACTCCGCTGGGAAGGTCACCAGCCGTTTGGTAGCGTAGGTTTCTCAGCTCGCGACTGCTTCTGCGCAGAGCTGATAGACGAGCGGACAAGACGAAGGTGAGTTAAACAAGGTTTATGTACAGCATATATACAGAGGCGTTACAAATTCGGCACTGGGGCCGACAGAGACTCGAAGAGCCGAGCTCTCCTCTCTAACACATAGGTCTGCTCTCAAACGGGTCCGCTCTGACACACATGTCAGCTTTCACCTAGGACCGCTTTCACCTAGGACCGCCGATCGCGACGCGCCGCAGGGCTTCTTTTATATGCACCGGGTCCAACTCAAATGTGCAACCAGAAGCGCCGTTGGTCGTCAGGGCAGACTCCTCCAATGGGGTCGCCACGCAATGCGTCAGACCCCCAGACATGAAGACGGCCGTTGTTTACTCGACGGGCTCGCTTGCACGTGCGCTGACTCACTGCACGTGGGCGACAGAAAGGCGCCGTGGCGTGCTGACGCCGTTGAGTTGTTGATCGCGTCAGGCGGGCTCGCGGCTGGCCTTGACACAGATTGCCTTTTTCAGAGGCACGGCCGTTCGCTGTGGACTCGCAGGCATAACAGCACCCCCGCCGCCAGACAATGCGCCGAAAAGACGAGCTGCTTCTATGGGGCTCATATGTCAGGCGCGCTCGTTCGCCAGGTCCCTCCAGGTTCGCCTCCAGGGCCATGGGGAGAATGCAGCTCCAGACTCCGTTCCGGGAACACATCCCATTCTTGACGACGGATCCCAGCTCCACTGGCTTGACGCCACAACTTGCCGACCAGCTTCGCTCGTCTCTTCTGACCATCCTTTGTCTCAGCACTTGTCGATGGTTCTGCAACTTGTCAAGAACGGATCGACAATAGACAACACACGACACAAGCAAGTGCCCTCGGTCACCCGACAGAACACCAGACAAAGTATAGTTCAACATATACCTAGCTACGTGTCTATCTGAATTTAGTTCCCTCTACATCAAGAGGCACATGTGGGACACAAGACTCTTAAAATGACAACTCAATTTTTTTTCCCACGTACAACAACGTAACGAACTAGGATGCAAAATAAATTCGGCTCCTTGAGATCACTCTGAACGAGAGCGCTCAGCCCAGGTCGTGATGAGGTCAAAATTTTGCCCCGAATCGCCAGCCAGAAACCGAAAGGTTGAGAAGGTACTAGCTAGAACGCACTGCTCAATGCACGTGCATTAGCGTATAGCTTTCCTTTTTTTTTTTTTTTGTAGCGAACGTCAAAGTTGCGCTGTCGGTGTATCACGCTCCATCTCAGTAACCGGCCACTTTTAGGCGACGATACCTATGCGGTACCAAGAGCGGCTCACACTTGCGACGTTGCACAGAGGAACAACGATACGGCTTGCTACGGATTGACTCCTCACCGCTTAGCTCGATATCGTGTTCGATCACCCTCGTGTTTCCGGGGTGGTCCGAAAACACGTCTCCAAACTCGGAAACAATCTTTCTCAGGTCCTCCCATTGGACTTCACTTAAGCTAGGCTCTAGGTTCAATTCCTCCAAGGTTACCTCCGATCCCCTTTCGATTACATCACTGGAACTCAAAATGTCTGCTCCCTCTTCCTCTGAAGAATTCAACAACAGATTTACGACCGCTTGATGTTGAACGTATGGTTTCATCAAGTTGTAAATTTTGTTCGGCCGCCTTCCTAATTTCACTTCATAATTTGTATCGCAAGGCTTCGATATTACTTTTGCGGGCCCTTCCCAATGAACCTCGAGCTTGTTCCTTTTGGACGACTGCAGCAGCATTATCTGACTTCCTACTTCAAAAGCGCGCTTCTTCACCGATTTCTCGTAGTGCTCTTTCGACAGCACTTGTGAAGCTTTCATGTGGCTTTCCACTGGCGCTTTAATCGAGAGGTCCTCGCGCTGCTCTTGAATGGGCGTCTCTCGATCATCCCTCGACAGCTCGCCCCAACTTTCCGCTACAGGCGAGAGCGTTGGGTATCTGCTATCGTCCACCGTCCTGCGATCCGAGCTTTGTCAATAGCCTTCACGATGTGGTTAACATAGTTATGGAACGTTTTTCTAATGTACCAGTCCTTTTAGCCGGAGACTTTAACTACCCAAATATATTTTGGTCCAGTGATGTACCTCAGTTAAGTCCGTTCTCTACTGACAGTTATAATTTTTTGAGCTTTTACTCTGATTTCAACTTTACACAAATTGTCACCCAACCAACTCGCATTACACCTACTACTTCGAGCGTTTTAGATCTCGTGTTAACCAACGTGCCTGATCTGTTCATGTCTCCACTTTGTTTGCCTCAATTAAGTGATCATTCTTTGCTCCATTTCACTATGGATGTTTGCGTTCCTCACCATGAAAATTATACTAAGCACATTAGAGATTACGCTGCTGCCGATTTTGATGCCATCAATAGAGAACTTTGTTTATTTCTGGACAGCTATCTTGATGAATTCGAGGCTCGCTCCGTTAATTCGAACTGGATTTTGTTCAAAGAAAAAGTAGCATACCTGACTGAAACGTTTGTTCCCCTGAGGCTAGTCACCACCAATAAGCATGCTCCCTGGTATAGCCAATCTTTGAAAAGGTTGGCTAATAAGAAAAAAAGGCTGTTTCGGTCCGCTAAAGTTTCTAACTCGCAGGCCAGATGGGATTCTTACTACGTTGCTAATGGGGAATATAGGAGGGCCACAAAAGCAGCAAAGGAAACCTACTTTAATAACACACTCCCCAATATGTTAGTCAACAACCCAAGACAATTTTGGAGGGTGGTGAATAAAAAAGATACTCATGAAATAACACTTAAAACTTCGGACGGGGTAACCCATAAAGATGATTGCGCTGTTATTCTCTGTGACACCTTCGCGGCGGCAGTGTCAGGTCTCCTCAACAAAGGTTCAAACCCTGTTTGTCAAGCTAGTGGTTATCTCCCGATGGAAGCAATTCGTTTTGACACAGCAGGTGTACAAAAAATAATAGAAAATCTTAAAGTCTCGTCTTCCGCCGGAATTGACAACATTACTTCCAAGTTTTTAATCAACACTAAAGTCTACAGCGCCATAATCTTAACAAAAATATTTGAGCAATCTCTGGAAGCGGGCTGTCTTCCGGATGATTGGAGTGTGGGAAGAATTATTCCATTCTTTAAGTCAGGTGATAAACTTTGTCCGTAAAATTACAGACCAGTATCAATCACTTCGATACCATGCAAAACAATGGAACACGTAATTTATTCGCAGCTTGTAAAATTTTTAGAGGGCGATTCTTTCTTTACTGATTCGCAGCATGGATTTCGTAAAAACTTTTCCTGTGAAACGCAACTAATATGTTTTATACATGATTTGCATTCTATTCTCGACAACGGCACACCCATTGACTGTATCTTTTTAGATTTCTCAAAAGCGTTTGACAAAGTACCTCATGATTTACTCATTTTAAAATTACGGAGCCTCAATATAGATGATAACGTCCTCGCGTGGGTGATTGCTTTTCTCAGTAACCGTTCCCAATTTGTAACTGTTAATAACTTTGATTCGCCCAGGGTCCCGGTTGGCTCTGGGGTCCCACAAGGCTCCGTGTTGGGACCATTGCTCTTTCTGGTCTATATAAATGATTTGCCTCTAAACATTACTTCTTCAGTGAGTCTTTTCGCAGATGACTGCGTAATTTATCAGGCAATTAAGGGACATTCAGACGTTCTAGAATTGCAGGCTGATATGGATCGGGTTCAGGAATGGTGTGAGACTTGGGGCATGGCGTTAAACGTTAACAAATGCAAATACATGCATGTTAACTGACACAGCACTAGTATCAGGTCGTATCATATTAATAATGTTCTTCTCGAAGTAGTGAATTCTTATAAGTATCTAGGTATCCACATAACTTCTACATTGTCTTGGAAGACACACATTGAATATATTGCAGGTAAAGCTAATAGCACGTTGGGTTACCTTCGAAGAAATTTTAATCAGGTACCCGTTTCCTTGAAACTCTTACTCTACAAAGTATTGGTACGTAGCAGATTAGAATATGCAGCATCTGTTTGGGACCCTGGTCATGACTCGCTTATCTATGAATTAGAACGAGTACAGAATCGGGCAGCGCGCTTCATCCTTTCAAATTATCATCGCACCTCGAGCGTCACATCAATGAAAACTACACTAGCATTACCCCTACTGTCTCTTCGCAGGAGGAAAGTGTCTCGGCTGTGCATATTGCATAAAATTTACTTCACCAATCCGTTACTCAGAAGCAGATTATTGGCCCAACCAACTTACGTTTCCACTCGCATTGATCATTGCCATAAAGTAGGACTTCCTTTAGCGCACACCAAGTGTTTTTATAATTCATTTGTGCCAAAAACATCTGTATGCTGGAATCATCTTCCTTGTGATATTGTTGGTATAAAAGATGCTGCTTTATTTAAAATTGCCGTCACTAATTTTATTTGTACGTAGCCTCAGTTCAACCCTGTAGCAAGCGACGATTGCAATTTTTCTGTTGTTGTATTTTGCTTTGTATGCTGTACATGTATGTATGTACCCACTCCCCTCTGTAATGCCCTCGGGCCTTGAGGGTAACTGAATAAATAAATAAATAAATAAACCCTCTCGCTCTGACTCAATGG